TAAACTTTGCACTTTATAATTTATCTAAAAAATACATCTAAACTTTCAAAAGTGTAATACCTTTAAATTATTAAAAAAAAATCTCAAAAACATATTTATCATTAGATTTAAATAGAAACCGTTTATATTTTGTTTCGACAATACCCTGAACTTTTAACAGTGTTTCATGATTATTAATTCACATACCGTTAATTTTTAATATTGTCACAAATACTCTTAAACTTTTAATATTGCCACAAATACTCTTAAACTTCAAAATTTCATTAATATTTTATTTCAACAATAACCTGGAATAGTATTTCATAAATACCCTTAAACTATAAAAAAGATCCATTAATACCTCTCAATTTAAAAAAAAATAATAAAAATAAAAAATAATTTTAACGTTAGACCCCACTCATTCTTTTAACAATTTTATTACACACATTATTATAATAGATAATTAATTTTTGTTAACTATTTTATTTTTTATTAAGTCAAATTATTTAAAATTTAATTTAACTTTCAGAAACAATATACAAAGTAAATAATTATATATTAGTGTAAATTATTTTAAATAAGCTTATAAATCTTCTATAATTATATTAATAGAACAAAACAAAAGAATTTATCATTACAATAGAATATTTAATTAATTTTAATTAATTGTAGTTTATTATCATTACTTACAAATTTAATCTATCCATTCCTAAGTATGAAAAAATATGATATCTCAACTTCTAATGGGAAGTGATACCATATCGTCGCCGACCCACAAAATGTTAGGATTTAATGCGAAGCCATGCTATTGCCATCAAGCTTCTTAAACTCACAATAGTATCAAGAACAGATATCTAAATGCAAGTGAAGTCTTGCAGAGATGCCTTCACACTAAATTAAACTAGGTCAAAATTCAAAGTATGATTCCATAATGATCCTTCCAAATTTAGTCAAGTTTCACATCAAAACATCATCATCTAAACATTGCGTCCAGTAAAGTAAAAGAAAACTATCGATCCATCAAGTCGAGAAAGAAACGAAACCTTACCCCTCTAGCTAGCTGATTTGAGGAACTGCAAAAAAATAAAAAAGAGATCAGAAACAACGCTACATAAACTAAGCAGTAAAACATTTAGAAGTGAAGGCGTCTGGTTTTATAAGTTTAGACAAACACTCCTACAGATACGGATATTAATTAGATTCACAATCACGACACACGAAGGTTCTACGACAGAATCGGTATAGGAAATGAAACCCCATTCATGGATGAACACTGGTCAAATAATAACAATTTGTGGTGTCTTGATTCACGACGTTGAAAAATCCATTTTAAGAAAACGACATGGCAGAATGATTTTCGTTTGTCGATAATCGAGAAATGAAGTTTACCCTGAACTTATCAACTAAACATGAACTGTGTTGTAAAAACAAAACAATAAAAGGAAAATATAGATAGATCCAAGTCAACTACGAATCCAATCTGGCTTCCATCAGTTCATATGAAATACAACGGAGTACTACAGGACGCAGAGGTTGCTAGAACCAGGGCTAGAAAAGTATAACCAGACAAGAGAAAGATATCCAATCTATAACAGGTATGGACTGGATTATGTGAATTGTCAAGAAATGAACTTAGAAAAAAGAATTATATGAAATTGGTCCAAAAGTAAAACTAAAAATTCCATCGTGAGGACAAGACATAAAGCTAGAGCCAAAGATATTAAGGTAAAATAAAAAATCTGTGTAACAGATTAGAATTTTAGAAAACATAAATCGAATCTTCGGAACACGAAACAGCACAGTATTGCAGCCCTATAAAACGCACTGCACTATTGGAAGAATACATAAAGACATCTCAAGAACATCTGATTGCCATCATGCTCCAAATTAGAGATTGAAGAGACAAAAGAATCCATGAATATTCTGAAATAAACACACATAAGATATAACAACACCCAAGAACAGACAAACAAAAACAAATATTGAGAAAAACATATCACAAATGATACAATGATCACAGGACTACATCACAAATCCCATTAAGTAAAGCAAACAAAAATTGAATATTGGAATGCAATATCAAGCATACTGTTGTTTTATCACATTAAGATAAACAGCATGGATGGTTTTTCCCTTTCTACATCAAAAAGAGTGGTGGAGGGGAGTGTACCTCATATGTTGCTGGGGTACATAAATACCCTAATTTTATCACCCTGCAAAATTGTCCAGAAATTCAATCAGAAAACCTATCCCAATATACCATCATTGAACAAATATGAAGAAACAGCTACTCATTCCACATTACCATGGATTTTGGGGGCAAGTTTGACTTAAACTTAGCTCGAACAATGCCACTGTTACCATGAGGTCTGGATACCTTGCCCCAAATGCACCGATAGTGAGTTCCATTTTGCTTCACTTTGGCCTTGTAAATATATGCCAACCGTTTTCCAGCATACCATGCAACCTCTTCCTTGGTATTCACACCTTCAATCTGAATCAGTGATGTTCTTGGATACTGGTTTGACTTGGACCTAAATACCAATTCCAAGTTCTTAGCTCCCACACAAACAATAGCATCCCTCACTAACTAATCACTAAACCTAACGCATATTTCAAATCCAGTTTCATCAATTTTCTGGCATCAAACTACACTTAAAAAGTACTCATCACGAAAAAAAAAAACAGTCCAATAATCGATAATCGAAGCGAAACCAATTACCTTTTGTACCCAAGGACTGTTCCTCTGACGTAGAGTCTGAAACAAACACAATACATTAGCAAAGCGGTAAAAAAAACAAAGAAATTCAAGTAATCAAATCGGGTTGATCTAGGGTTCGGAGAGAGACCTGATTCTTTCTCCCTGACTTCCCTTCACCATGGCTGCCGCAGGTTAGGATTCTGTAAAATGACTCGTTCAAGACTCGCGAAGAACTAAGATCGGTAACCAAATGTAAATGCTATTGGTAAGAAAAAAAATGGAAATCTTTGAGGAATAATCACCTTAGATTTGCAGGTTGAAGAGAGGAAGATGGAGCAGCGGTTCAGAGAAGAAGGTGACCACTTGAAGAAGACGGAACTTTTTATAACGGGGATTTGAGGGTCAAAATCATTTAAGAAATTTCTAGGGTTTCCCTTTTAGCGCAATAGATAGATTAAGTCTAAATTAATAAAAATTTAAAAATTTAAAAATTAAAAAAAAAAAAAAAAAAAACCTTCAAAATGTTTCGTAATATTTTTATTTTTTTAAAAATTCAAAATTTCATTATTACCTTTCAATTTTTTTAAAAAAAGTTACAAAATATTAACTTTTATAATTTTATTTTAAAAGTTGTTATTGTCTCTTGTCACTCCAAAAAACGAGATTGTTACCAATGCAGAACGATGAGTATCGAGATAGATAGCCCAGTCAGCATCTGAATAAGCCACTCGCACACTAGGAACAATGTATGAACGAAAGGTAAGACTAAAGTAGATTGTTCCCTTGACATAGCGAAGAATACACTTGACAGTAAGGACATATAGGGCGTGTAATGGTCAAGTAATGAAGGGCACCAATAAGAGATCGATAGAGAGTAGGATCAGGGAAAGGAGAACCATCAACCGTCCGGTGTTGAAGAACAACTATCGGGTGTGTACTAGTTTGCAGCATGAGTAAGAATATCTCGAGCATATTTTAATTGACTAAGACATACATGGATGAAAATTGTTTGCCAATATATGGATTAAAACATGTTGGTAGTGCAGATATGATTCACGTGACAGAAAATCTTAATGATTTGTCAATACATTTTGTCAACACATGATATCTCAAAAATGGATCTAGCAAAAAGCTTGAGAATCGAAGACTCGAATGTCAACAATGAGGTAAGTAGCCATCTTAGTTTTTTCTTAACAAATACTTGTAGGAAATGCTTGGAATACAATATGAACCTTAAGTTACGTATGATTTAAAGGAATATAGAAGAAATGACCCAAGGACAATGAGTTAGGCCATAAACCAAACGTTTTACTTAGGAATCAAGTAACGTAAGTAACGTTAAAGTAATCTACGGAATGAATTCCGTTATCCGCAAAATTTTAATGCTAGGTAAAATATGATATGTTAAGGTGATATATAAAAATTGGTGGTCATTGGATAGCTAAACTAAGCAACGATGCAAAATAACCAAAATGACCCTACGGTAAACTACCTCGTTCACGACCCAGATGATTTCCAAATATAATGAAACTTTATAAGAGATATTATTTTATAGTCTTTAAAGATCATATAAATTTTCAAAGTCATTGGAGCACGTTTAGACACTAAACCAAGAATTAAAGGTTTAAATGACTAAAATGCCCCTAAAGATTGGTAAGATATTTCAATACTCGAACACCTAAAGAAGACCTATTTATAAGAACCTAAACCAAGAAAATGTGATAAAGGACCAAAATACCCCTATAAGGACTTTAAGTTTTTAAGACCACAAGGATTTCTCAAGGTTATAAGAGACTTAATTATGACCATAAGAAGGAATATATCGGAGCACAAAGCTTATAGAACATGTTACGGGTATAAGTCAAGAATTATGGGAAAGGACAAAATTACCCCTAATGACCCTTAACCAAGATTCAAGATCCTTCTAGAATCTTTAAGAGATACGTTATAACCTTATGATACTATGCATGTTATTATGAAATGTTCGTGACATACAAAAAAAGGACTCGAATGCTCCTATCAAATAACCTCAAGAATTATGCACTCGAATGAATCCTTTTAAGACCTTGAAGGTTATTAAGTACCATGACAGAGGTGTGTTATACGTTTATGTTATGTTTGGGGTTCATCCTTGGTTTTAAGCCATCAAGAAGCTACCTCGGGATAAGGTTTAAGATAGCCCATGGTGTTTGAGTAATTAGAAGGCTACCCTTATTCAAGAAAAATTCAAAGGTTAGTACTTGATTTTTAAGCATTCAGGTTGCTATTTCATGACAAGTTCTACGTTTGTAAGAATTGGGTGACTCGAAACACATATAAATGAAGAGAAAATGCATAATCTAAATTAATAATTTCTAAATCTGATGTACATAATATATCTCTTGCTTTACAAGTTGATCAATTGTAATCTCGTTAAATGCGAGTTCATCCTGATAGGGCCTTCGAATGTTGAATTCTCGAGTCAAATGTTGCATTGTAGGTCGGGCTTTTGGATTTGGATGGAGACATGCAAAGGCTAACGTTAATGTGAGAAGTATACTTTGTGTCAGTCCAATTTGGAGTAAAGGAGATTTGAGCCGTGAGTCTAACAAATCCTTGATGAATATTCGTGGAATAGATTTAGACCACAAGTAAGTTAATAGTTCTCCGGGATGCTTACCCATTATTACTTCCAATGCCACCACTCCAAAGCTGTACACGTCACATTTTTCTGATATGACCACCGAGTATGCTAATTCTGAATCAAAAAAGAAAAAGATTAAAAGTAATGATTTAAGAAAATCAATTAAGAATTCATTGATCATTGTGATGATATGTGCTCACCCGGAGCTATATATCCACAAGTGCCGCCAACAGTGGTATGATAAGATAACTCATGATCGAGTAATCTTGAGATACCAAAATCGGATAGAAAAGCTTCTAGATTTGAGTCCAAAAGTATATTACAGGTTGTAACGTCCCGATGAATGATTGGAGTAATGCAATCATGGTGTATGTATGATAAAGCATGTGAAACTCTTTGTAGGATGATCAGTCTTTTCTTCCAATCCAATTCCACTGCTTCTGTGTCGTTACTCAACACCCAAAATAAGCTTCCCCTCTCCATGTATTCATAAATCAGAAACATGGAACGCTTATGGAGGCAATATCCATAAAGTTTAATGATGTTCCTGTGCCGTATCTCTTTCAACATATCAACTTCATTTTGGAAACTTTTGTAAACAGTTCTCTCTTGAGCTTCACGGGTGTGGAGTTTCTTTAAAGCTACAACTTTACCGTTTGGAAGACTTGCTTTATAAACACTTCCATACCCACCTGTACCAATGCAATATTTAATATCGAAGTCTTCTGTTGCTTCTATAATATCGTCATACGCAACCTTCCCATCATAATCCCATATGCAGAACACATTCCCATGCTTATTTGACTCTATCTCATGGGTGACCTTCTTCTTTGATCGGGAACGAACAAGAGTGAAGCAAGAAAAACAGAGAACGAAAAAGAAAACTGAGGGAAGCAGAATCATCAGCATTTTGAAAATTCCATGATTCTGTGAATCACAAGGATGAAGCGGGGGAATACTGCCACAAAGCTTTTGATTACCCAAAACAGCACTTACATCAAAACGATGTAGAATTTGGTCACAAACTTCACCTTCAAACTTGTTATACGATAAATTGACACTTCTAAAGAAAAGGAAGGAATCTGAAATTTTGCCTACGAGATTATTGTAGCTAATGTTGATGCTTGTAGGCCTTAAATGATTATCCAGTGACAAACGGGGAAGTTCACCATCAATGAAGTTATGACTGAAGTCAATCTCCAATGTAATTCCATTATTTAAGACATAGTAGGGAGAATGAGTACTATAAAGCAGTCCCACGAGAGTCGCAGGAATTGGACCACTGAACATGTTGTAACTAACATTCAAAATATTCAATTTCTCTAAATGATCTATTTGCACGGGGATGGTTCCATTGAATCTATTTGACGATAGATTTAGGATGGATAAATTAGTAAGATGGACGACAGAGAAAAGGATTGGGCCCGAGAACACATTTTCATGTAGTTCAAGAATTTCCAAGCCTTTAAACTTCTGAATTTTTTGAGAAACAGAATCATTAAAGTAGTTGTAGGAAAGACTTAACCAAATCAACCGAGTTAAAGACCAAAAGGTGGTAGGGAGTGGGCCAATAAGCTTATTATGTTTCATCACAATATTAGATAGATTACTTAAATTTCCAAACGCGGATGGAATTGAACCAATGATCAAGTTATTGCCTAAATACAGGCCTGTCAAGCTCTTCATGTTCCCTATTTGAGATGGAATAAATCCACCTATTTGGTTGTGGGAAAGATCTAGAGTCTTTAAATTGGTCAAACGACCTATGGTTGAAGGGATTGTACCGGTAAACATATTGTTTCTAAGATCAAGCTCTAATAAATTTGTCAAATTTCCTAATTCCAAAGGAACCTCGCCGGAAAGATCATTTGAACCTAAAAACAAAGAGGTGAGTTTGGAGAGTTGAGATATTTCGGGAGGAATTCCCCCTTGGAGACTAGAGTTAATGAGATAAAGACCCTTCAAGTTAGGTAAAGATGAGAAATTCAAGTTGTGTAGAGTAGACCCGTTGGGCAATGACCTCCGTACCTGAATCATTATAATACTTCCCGAAGCATCACAAGTTATGCCTTTCCATTTACAACGAAGTGAAATATTTTGATTGACCCACCAACCAGCTTGGATTAGAGCATCACCTTCTTGTTGAAGCGGGAACAGTGTCGATGCATTTGAATATGTAAAAATTGAATCAAACAAGAAGTTGGAGAAAAAATACGAGAAAACGAGTAGAAACCAAAGGGAAGTGAAGTTAGACATATTCTTTGAGAGAGATTGTAATGAGTATTGCTTTAGTAGAAATGCCCTTTTAAATAAGTTTAGTTCCAACCTATCATAGGAAGAGACAAAAATCCTATTTATCAATTTTTTTTTATTGGTTTTGATTTATTTTTATATAGAAATTGAACCTCATATTTAAGTCGGATTTTTTTTCAAATATTTCGGATTATCTAAAGTTTTAAGGTGGAAAGCTCGTCATCCATAAATCGAATTTAAATATTAATTTTTATAATTTAAGAGAAATAGATCGGTAGATATTTATGTATTCCTATATGCAATAATGCAAATAAATAAATAAATAAATGTGTTTTTTTTAAGTCGGGATGTGTAAGTTTGTGTCTTGGAGTCCGTGTCTCTTTCTTTAGGAGAAAACTTTATAAGTCATGACCGAGTAAAAGATATTTATTTTATTTCTTGGACCCATTTTTTAAAAATGTCTTGACGTGTATATATCAGTGTCTAGACATCTCTTTCTCTTAAATTACACAAATTAATTTTAATTATATTGGTGCATGGGGAGGATTTAATTGAAATTACATTCTCTCAGGCCCCTTTCCAGTCTGGGTTGAATTGAATGTGTAGTATTTCTTTACACACGACCCACACATGCGAACATGGACCCACCAGGGAGGTTTGCACACCCCCTAAGTCTGTTGGTCGGGGTAGCTCTCGTTGATGGGCTATTGCAGACACCTCGAGGGAATAGCAGACGTCGTATCATTATGACGAACATAAACGTCATAATCAATCTCATAATGTACGTTTTCATACTCATTATAATGGTGAAGTATCCCAATACACATGAACACACCATTGTGCGTAAGGTTCCCATACTTTCAATCGTGGCATAATAAATGATGCAAGACAAACCTTCATTCTTTCACGACATGTTGAATCCGATAATTATACGTTCGTAATTCTTATATATTATTTCATATATAATATAGCTTCCATGACATGACATAGAGAGGTGGTGCATCATAGATTTCCTTATTTCATAACATATTATAGCATATCATAGCAAATCATGACATATCATAGCATTTCATTTATACCACAACATAATTTGGTGTATCATACAGCGTAGTGTAATATAACATAACATCACATATAAAAGCATATGTGTAACGACCCGCTTTTTTTATTATGAAAAAAAATCATTTAATTGTATTATGATATTAAACGTAACACTTCCAAATTTTCAATTAAATAAAAATTCGAGCTTTTTGACTTGGACTATTTACGTATGTTTTGAATTACGGTTGAAAAATTGATCTATCCACAAATGGGATTTAAATATTAATTTTTGTAATTTTAAGAGAAATAAATAGAAAATAGAAAATAAATGGATTTTGGTGAGTCGAGATGTGAAAGGTAGTTGTCTTTCACTTTAATGTCCCTTTCTTTACAGAAAACCTTCCCCACTTGACAGAGTAAACACATATTTATTTTCTATATTTAGACCCATTTTTTAGAAAAAGTCGGGACCATTTTCTTGCATTATTGCATACATCAATGTAATGTCTATTCATCCGTTCCTCTTAAATTACATATATCAATGTAATGTCTATTCATCTTTTTCTCCTAAATTATAGAAAATAATTTTAATTATATTCGAATTGCATTGGCTAATAATTGATCTCCCACTTTATTACCAAGGTGAAAGATAATGGAGGCCACCCGATTAAAAACCATTCTAAGAATGTCCGAAATTCTAGCTTTATTTATTTATTGAAATTAATGATTTTTTAAAATAATTTTCAATAAATAAAATGAATGGGTGTTTTTCTGATTAGATGTAAAAGTAAGTCATGTTGGAGATATTTGAGCGTTCATCAATATTATTGAATTAGATAATTTTTTAGTTTGTTTGTTTTCTATTTTTTTTAAAAATAATTATTATTTTATATTTAAAAATTCAACCAGAAAAAGGAGATTCATTTATGACATAAATAAAGACAATATATCAATATTAGACTAAGATATTTTCTTTTTTTTTTGATATAATCAAGAGTGTCGTGTAAAGTAAAGTTTAATAAATGGAAAAAAAAATGTAAAAAGAAAATATATTAAAAGTTTTATTTATCTACCATTTATAATTATTCGGATACAATCTTAGGTAAAATATATTAAAAGTTCACAAACAAACACAAGTCAATCTATAATTATTCAGAAAAAAAAAAAAAATCAACAAAAACAACGACCGAAAATTGTAACATATTAACATAGTTCAACATTGTCATAAAACGAAAGACAACTAAATACCAACTTTTCTTGAGAATTGGATAAAGTAACAAAAATATAAAGATAATTCATAAAATTAAATAAATAAAAAAATGATTACTTTAAACGTATAGTATATAACAAAAATAACAAAAATAAAAAATATATAAAAATATTTTAATTGAAATATGTTTATTTATTCGTGACTTTACGAGTCTTAAACTATTAGAAAAAATATAAATATATGTAAATTATGATATAATAATATTGCAACAAATAGATAATAAATATATTAAAATTTAGAATATACTTTAAAATTATTCATGTATATATATATATAAAATTTATGAAACTTAAATGCTATTTCAAAATAACTTAAATGTATGTATAAATCTTAAGGTATTTTTAAAATATATATATAAAAGAAATTAAATAAAGTAATTAAAAATAAAAAAAAATAAAAAAATAAAAAAATAAAAAAATAAAAAAATAAAAAAATAAAAAATAAAAAATATATATAAAAGAACTAATCAAAAAAATTAAAAATAATAAAATTAACGAAAAAAAAGTAATTTATAAATTATAAGGTATTTATTAAAGAAATTAAATAAAGTAATTAAAAATAAAAAAATAAAAAATAAAAAAAATATATAAAAGAAACTAATCAAAAAAATTAAAAATAAAAAAATTAACGAAAAAAAAGTAATTTATAAATTATAAGGTATTTTTGAAATATATATATAAAAGAAATTAAACAAAGAAATTAAAAAAAAGAAGAAACTAATCAAAGAAATTAAAAATATAAATAAAGAAAAAAAAAAGTATGTATAAATCATGAGGTATTTAAAAAAAAAAAAAAAAATATATATATATATATATATATATATATATATATAATATATATATATAGATATATATAAAAGAAATTAAACAAAGAAATTAAAAATAATAAATAACACAATAAAAAAATAAAAAAATATATAATAATAAAAAAATAATAAAACAACAAAGAAATTTGTATTTGTCTAGCATTGAACCCAAGTGTTAGTATTCTTAGATTGAACTTGGTACAACTCTGATCAGATTTTAAATATTTTTTATATATTTTTATTTTTCGAGTCAACTCGAAGATTTTGCTTTCGAACTCGAAACCGAATCGATTTAGTTTGGGTTTCGAAAAATGAACCCAACCTTACTCGAAATGCTAATTCAACCTAACCCAACCCTTATAGTTTAGGTTAGGTTGGTCCGGGTTGTCGGGTTGAATGACCCCTATTCTAGAGGGTTGTCCATGTTTACTATGGAGCCATGGAATAGTCCGTTAAGGTTTAGTTTCTCCAATTAAATTTTTTTTATTTTAGATGTCCTTGTGTTGGGATGCATACAACACCTTCGAAGTTACTGCAACACATACACATAAATGAAGATAAAATGCATAGTTGAAACTAATGATTTCTAAATCTTATGTACATGATATATCTCTTGCCTTAAAAGTTGTTCAATTGTAATCTCATTAAATGCGAGTTCAACCTGATAGGGCCTTTGAATGTTGAATTCTCGAGTCAAATGTTGCATTGTAGGTCGGGCTTTTGGATTTGGATGGAGACATGCAAAGGCCAATGTTAATGTGAGAAGTATACTTTGTGCAACTCCAATTTGGTGTAGAGGAGATTTGAGTCGTGAGTCTAACAAATCATTGATGAATATATGTGGAGTAGATTTTGACCACAAGGAATTCAATAATTCTACAGGATGTTTTCCCATTATTACTTCCAATGCCACCACTCCAAAGCTGTAGACGTCACATTTTTCTGTTATGACCACGGTGTACGCTAATTCTGAATTTGAAAAGAAAAAGAATTAAAAGTAATGGTTTAAGAAAATAAATTAAGAGTTCATTGATCATTGCGACAATATGCGCTCACCTGGAGCTATATATCCACAAGTGCCGCCAACAGTGGTATGATAAGATGACTCAAGATCAAGTAATCTGGAGATACCAAAATCAGATAAAAAAGGTTCTAAATTTGAGTCCAAAAGTATATTACTGGTTGTAACGTCCCGATGAATGATTGGAGTAATCCAATCATGATGTATGTATGACAAGGCATGTGAAACTCTTCGTATGACGTTCAATCTTTTCTTCCAATCCAATTCCACAGCTTCTTTGTCGTTACTCAACACCCAAAATAGACTTCCCCTCTCCATGTATTCATATATGAGAAACATGCAACGCTTATGGAGACAATATCCATGGAGTTTAATGATGTTCTTGTGCCTTATCTCTTTCAGCATATCAACTTCATTTTGGAAACTTTTGAAAAGAGTTGTCTCTTGGGCTTCACGGGTATGAAGTTTCTTTAGAGCTACGACCTTACCGTTTGGAAGCCTTGCTCTATAAACACTTCCATACCCACCAGTGCCAATGCAATATTTAATATCGAAGTCCTCTGTTGCTTCTATAATATCGTCATACGCAATCTTGCCATCATAATCCCATATGCAGAACACATTTCCATGCTTATTTGACTTTGTCTCATGGGTGACCCTCTTCTTTGATCGGGAATGAACAAGTGCAAAGCAGGAAAAACAGAGAACTAACAATAAAATTGATGGAAGCAGAATCATCAGCATTTTGAAATTTCCATGATTTTTTGAATCACAAGGGTGAAGCGGGGGAATACTGCCACAAAGCTTTTGATTACCCAAAACAACACTTACATCAAAACGATGCAGAATTTGGTCAGAAACCTTGCCTTCAAGCTTGTTGTACGATAAGTTGATATTTCTAAAGAAAAGGAAGGAATCTGAAATTTTGCCCATGAAATTATTGTAGCTAAAGTCGATGCTCGTAGGTCTAATATGATCAAGTGACAAATGGGGAAGTTCACCATCAATGAAGTTATGACTAAAGTCAATCTCCAATGTAATTCCATAACTGCGTGAGAAGGGATAGTCGTCAGGATTACTAGGATTACTATGGAGTAGATCCACAAAAGTCGTAGGAATTGGACCACTAAGCATGTTGTAACTAACATTCAAAATATTCAAATTTTCTAAATGTCCTATATGCAAAGGGAGGGATCCATTGAATCTATTTGATGATAGATCTATGAAGGGTAAATTTGTAAGATGGACAAGAGAGAAAAGGATTGGGCTAGTGAATGCATTGTGTTGTAGTTCAAGAATAACCAAGCCTTTTAAATTCTGGATTTGTGGAGAAATTGAATCATTCAAATAGTTGTAGGAAAGATCTAACCAAGTTAACGTAGTTAAATACCAAAAGGTTGAAGGGAGAGGGCCATTAAGCTTGTTACGATTCATCATGAGATAAGATAGATTACTTATATTTCCAATGGTGGATGAAATTAAACCAATGAGTACGTTATTGTATAAAATCAACATTTCCAAGCTCTTCATATTCCCTATTTCAGATGGAATAAATCCGCCTATTTGATTGTAGGAAAGATCTAGATATTCTAAATTGGTCAAACGACCTATGGTTGAAGGGATTGTACCTGTGAACATATTGTTACTAAGAACAAGCCGTAATAAATTTGTCAAATTTCCTAATTCCAAAGGAAGCTCGCCGGAAAGATCATTTGAACCTAAAAACAAAGAGGTGAGTTTGGAGAGTTGAGATATTTCGGGAGGAATTCCCCCTTGGAGACTAGAGTTAATGAGATAAAGACCCTTCAAGTTAGGTAAAGATGAGAAATTCAAGTTTTGTAGAGTAGACCCTTTGGGCAACGGCCTACTTACGTAAATACGTGTAATACTTCCTGAATCATCACAAATTATGTCATTCCATTCACAACGAAGTGAGATATTATGATTGACCCACCAACCAGTTTGGAGTAGAGCATCGGCTTCTTGTTGATGCGAGAACAATGTCGATGCATTTGAATATGTAAAAATTGAATGAAACAAGAAGTTGGAGAAAAGATACGAAGAAAAGAGCAGAAACCAAAGGGAAGTGAAGCTAGGCATATTCTTTCCGTGGATGTTTGGGATTGGGATAAGAACACACAGATAATGAGTAAACTTTTAGTTGAAATAAGAGAGAAATTGTAATGAGAATTGCTATGGCGGAAATGCCATTTTAAACAAGTCTAGTTTGAACCAACATACAAAACAGACACAAAAGTCAAATCTCAAAATCAAATCCTTATTTATCATTATTATTTTTTTTTATTTTAATTTTTGTGATATATAAATTGAACGTGATATTTGGATCGAATTTTCTTTCAAATATATAATTATTTGTAAGAAGAGACGTGAGTAAGACATGTATAATGCAAGAAAATAGTCACGACCTTTCTAAAATATGGATTTTACTAAATCAACTCATTGTCTCCTTTACTAAGTCAGAATGTCTCTATTTATATAGTAAATGAATCTCATTTTCTAACAAATTGGTACAAAAAAAAAAAAAAAAAAAAAAAAAAA